CCTGACAAGAGTACACAGTGACACACCATGAAGAGTGTGTCTTTGTCTACATGGTGTGCATCATGAATTCTTTGTCTTGATGAGTGTCTACACAGTGATACACCAAGAACAGTGTGTGTGTTTCTGAGTGTCCGTGTAAGCTTGTGTTTTATTGGAATGGCACCGTTAATGTTTATTTTCTAGATCTGGACATTTTTCCAGTAGCGAACTAGGATGTTCAAAATAGCAGCTAAGTTCCTTCTAAGCTAAGCGTGAGCTCGAGTACACACACCTTTGCAGGCCTGGCCGTGGTCTTGCAGAACTGGCGATAGTATTCCCAGTGATTTTTGTCTTCTCGGGTCAAAAATTGCATTTCCAAGTAGGTTAGAAATCTCTCAGGGCACTTGGAGACGCAGATCTGTGGAGCAGAGAAGCATAGTGATAAGGTCATTGGGGCGGTTGCCTCTAAGGAGATGCCTCCAAGGTTGGATGGGCTTCTGAACTCCCCACCAGGATGAAGAGTAAAACATCATTTTTCACCTAAGTGACTTAAATCATGCTTCTAGTTTTATTGTGTAAAATTAAATTGAGTACAGAATGGTACCAACCTGTACTTCTTGCTTTCTTGGTCTTGTGTTAAAACAAGATATTGAACAGTAGTGATAACCTTATGATTTTTTGATTTTTAAATCAGCAGATAGTGTTCTCAATACCACGGTAGCGTTACCAAACCAAGCATTTTCGTGACTCTCCTTTCCCGCCTCTTCATACAGTTGCCCGTGCCCCTCCCCCATCTCCTATTATTTTCCCATTTCATGTCCCATGCGTCCCTTCTTCCCACCTTCCCTCCGTCCTTGTCACCTAATACCAACCTCTCTAGGAACGTAAAACGTCAAGTGAGGTGACCCAAGCAAATAAGACAAAGCCAGCATGTTCTTTCTCGTAGATTCTAGCCTGTGATATGTGAAGTTTAAAAAGCCTAGATGGATTTATTATTTTAACTTGATATTTTGAGATAAATGTATATCCACAAGTAGCTGTGAGACACAGAAGTTTCTACATGCTCGTCACGCAGATTCCCCGGACGGTAATACTTTGCGTAACTGTAAGGTAATTTTATATTCACTCACTTCACTTAGATGGTGCTGATTTTATGTCCTTTCAGTGCGTGACTGTGAGGGACGGTTCTGTGTGCAGATCTGGGGACTTCTACCACAGAACAATGATGATCTTAAAGCCCCCTTTAAAGGTTTTCATCTTTATTATTTGTGTGCATGAGGGTGCAGTATGTGCAATGCGCATGCAGTGTCTGCAGAGGCCACAAGAGGGCAGCCGACTCCCCAGGGCTGGAGTTAGCGGAGGTCGCGAGTCACCCCAGCAAGGATGCCGAGGAACTGAACCCAGGTCCTCTGCAAGAGCGGCAAGTACTATTCACTATCTCTCCATCTCTCCATCACGGCTTTTTAATATGGCATTTTCTTACGATTGTATTAATAGATAGGAGTATAATTCAAGGTTAATTTTGTAGTCTGTATATATTCTAGGTTAGAGTCTTGCTTTGTTTTCTATATGAATGAAATGACTTTGAAATTTTGTGTCATTTGTTAATGTGCATGGGAAGTATTCATCAGTGTGCCCATGAGTTACTCATAATTCTGAAAGCATAATTAGACTTTGTCACTATAAGAAATAAGCAAG